TTCAGCAGAAAAGTGTCACAGGTTTTTTAAGGAAAATGTTCATCAACATTGTTTGCTCCTACATAAATCCCACTTTTGTTCCCTTAGAAATCTTGAAAGCATTTTATATTTTTTCAAGGGCAGAGGTCTTTCCAGCATCTTATAATTGTTCTCAAAGAGTTTACACAATGTAGCATCTCCTTAAACTTTCTAGAAATAAATTATATGGCATTATACCTTATAAAGAGGTGAACAAAGTTATCTCTGCTTTAGAAAGAGGAAATGAAACTTTCTTGTACTCAAGTAAGTGACCTCGCATCCCAAATTAAAACACAGATAGAAGTGGGACTACAGTGCAGGACATTTACTTTTCCTTGGTAAACTCAAATATGTCTTACTATAATAAACCACATTCCAACAGATTTAGCATTCTCTACTCAGACAGGAATGAAATAAAACAAAGAAACTATTCATTGATGTTTCTTTCATTTTAAAAAAGTTAAGATCCTCCCTGGCTGGTTTGGCTCAGTGGATAGAGCGTCGGCCTGCAGATTGAGTGGTCCTAAGTTCGATTCTGGTCAAGGGCATGTACCTTGGTTGTGGGCACATCCCCAGTAGGGGGTGTGCAGGAGGCAGCTGATCGATGTTTCTCATTGATGTTTCTAACTCTCTATCCCTCTCCCTTCCTCTTTGTAAAAAATCAATAAAATATATTTTTTTAAAAAAAGTTAAGATCCTAAGTGAGTGGTTCATTAGCACTTTCATCACACAGCATTCTAGGAATACCTTTTCAATAAAACCATTATTACAAAGTAATCCCCAAATCTCTCCTCTCCATTTCATTCATTTCAATATTCCTAGATACCCTAAAATGAAGCCAAATTTCCTACATTATTTGAGGAAGAGAAAGTGGTGCCATTCCTGTTTAGCCTAGTCTATAATAATAAAAGCATAATATGCTAATTAGACCGGACAGCCTAACAACCTTCCAGATGTCATTCCAGACATATTTCTGGACTAAGATACAGTGGCGGGGGCTGAGGCAGAGGCAGTTAGGGGCGATCAGGCAGGCAGGCAAGTGGTTACGGGCGAACAGGCAGGCAGAGTGGTTAGGAGTGATGAGGCAGGCAGGTGAGCAGTTAGGGGTGATCAGGCAGTCAGGCAAGCAGTTAGGGGTGATCAGACAGGCAGGCAGAGTGGTTGGGGAAATCAGGCAGGCAGGTGAGTGGTTAGGGGCGATCAGGCAGGGAGGTGAGTGATTAAGGGTGATCAACCAGGCAGGCAGAGTGGTTGGGGCAATCAGGTGAGTGGTTAGAGGTGATCAGGCAGGCAGGACATATAATTGGGTTTTAACAAGAGATTACATTCAATCCCCATCAAGAGTAAAGAGACAAAAGTGCCTACTGTACACCAAAAACTAAACAATCTGATCCAACAAAAAAAACTCACTCTCACCAGGAACATCCTATATAATAAACCCTAAGATGCAAATCGACCGAATAGCAGAACAACCAGTGGCTATGACGCACACTGACCACCAGGAGGCAGACGCTCAATGCAGGAGCTGCCCACCTGGTGGTCAGTGCACTCTCACAAGTCGGGCTCAGCCAGAAGCCGGGCTCACGGCTGGCGAGCACAGCAGCAGTGGCGGAAGCCTCTCTCGCCTCCTGCAGACGGGCGATAAGAAGTGAGGGGTCCCAGACTGCAAGAGCCCCAGACTGTGAGAGGGTACAGGCTGGGCTGAGGGATCACCCTCCCCCGCCGCAGTGCACGATTTTCATGCACCAGGCCTTTAGTTTATCTGTAAAACAGAAGAGGTATCAGGGCATAAGCACATGACTTTCACATAAAACACAAGGCTTTCCAAAAGTATAAGGAGATGGGGTTCCACTTTGTGTTTTAAAACCTAATGTCTAGAACTGTGAACCAAGTGCAGAACAAAGAGTTGGAGAGCATCATCTACCTGGACGTGCGGAGCATGGGCAGAGCAGCTGTGCAGTGGACAGGCAGGAGCACCTGTCGTGTGTGCGGACAGGAGCTGAGCTTTGTGCTCTAAACAGGTCACCTTCTATAACGTTCACAAACAAACTGCCAGGATGAGCAGAACTGAGACTATAATATCTACGTGGTAAAACCTAGATGCCCAGGTCTTCTGGGAAGACAGCATACCTGTAACCGCTGAAATACTCCTGATCGCAGGCCTCCAAATCCATAGTGGCTCTGCGGGTGCAGAGCACTTTCTGACACCTCTTCATAGGGGGACTGTTCAATTTCCCAATCAAAGTCTTCATCATCATCTTCTACTCCCTCCTCAGAAACCCCAGAAGCACCTAAATATGTTAAAAATTAACTTTTTAAAATACTGAATTTCCTAGGTACAACTCAGGGAAGAAAAAAAATGGAGGAAAAATGACTGCCTGTGCTGCACCAAAACACAGTAAAAGAATATTCATATACTAGATAACCAAAAAAATTGATCTAACCCACAACCCACCCATGATAGGATGTATAAACAATCTATACTAATAAAAGGGTAATATGCTAATTAGGGTGGATGTCCATCCAGACAAAGCCACAGCAGCTGCAAGGCTCAGGGCTCAGGCAGCCGTGAGCCCTGGAGGCTGCAAGGCTCAGGGCTCAGGTAGCCATGGGCTCAGGCATTCGTGAGCTTGGTGGCTGCGAGGCCCGGGGCTCAGGCCTCGCAGCTGCTGAGGCCAGCAGTGGCAGCAGCAGCAGGGTGATAGGGACAGTGCTTCCCCTGATCAGCCCGGTTGCCTCCTGCAGAGGGAGGCCAGACTGCGGCTTAGGTGCACTCCCCATTGGGAGCGGGCCTAAGCCGTCAGTAGAACACTCCCTGATAGCTCCCAGACTATGAGAGGGGGCAGGCCAGGCTGAAGGACCCCCCTCCAGTGCACAAATTTTCTTGCACAGGACCTCTAGTAAATACAATAAAAGCAAACAGACCTCAGCCATATATGCATAAATCTCACAAAAATGTTAAGTGACGGCAGCCAGTCAAAAATGAACACATACTGTGTGAAATTATATTTATATACAGTTCAAAAACAGGCAAAACTGAGGACAGTGGGTACCTTGGAGAGGAGGAGGGAGAAATAATTGGGAGGAGACCCAGGTAGGACTCCAGGGTACTGGAAATGTTCCATTTCTAGTCTTAGGTGGTATTAACTTCATGGAACTTACTGAACTGTACACTTTTAATTTTAGCTCAAGTGGCCAATATTTTGCCAAAGACAGAGATGCTATTTCAATTTATTAAAAAATATGACTGACCTACTGGTTCAATGGAGTTCTTTATGTCTTTAAATTATATGTTGCCAAATGAGCTATTTTCACATAACCTCCTTATTTTGTCGCCTAAAGTATTTTCTCCAATCTCCTATTTGCTATATCCCTTTTCCCCTGAAAACATACAACATTCCAAATATTTTGCTTTTCTTTCTTTCTTCCTTTTTTTTTTTGTTCCAATTGCAATAAACATACCTATTTCCTCCACAAGTGGTTTTGCAGTCCTGGATTTTCTTGGTGCCAGAAGCGTAGTTAACATGTTCAGCCCCTCAAAATGCTGACCAGGAGTTTCTTTGGGCAACTGAATGGTAAAAATTCCTTAAACATAAATTTGTTTTATGGTTAACAAGATTAAAATATTCAAAGACTTCACAAATATATCTATGTAATATATGTGTTTACATATAATTCTATTTTATAGAGCTCCAAAATTATGGCCTTACATAAATTTAGTGACTAAAAATCAATGAGGAAAGTTCCAACAGGGTTTTTCAGAACCACTAATTCAGCTGTCACCACTACAAGAAATTAATTTGTTAAAGCTGCAGAATGCTTTAGTCTTATTGAAATATCACTTTAACTACTGATAATATTAAAAGTCCAAGTCAAAAAGTCCAAAACTCAATAGCCTGAGAAGGTAATAGCAGCTACTTATAAAATTTATTTCTGGACTAGGAAGGCAAAAAATCAGGATACATTATCCTATAGAGCAGTGGTTCTCAACCTTCCTAATGCCGCGACCCTTTAATACAGTTCCTCATGTTGTGGTGACCCCCAATTTCATTGTTACAAATTGAACATAATTAAAGCATAGTGATTAATGACAAAACAATATGTAATTATATATATGTTTTCCGATGGTCTCAGGCGACCCCTGTGAAAGGGTCGTTTGACCCCCAAAGGGGTCACGACCCACAGGTTGGGAACCACTGCTATAGAGAATAGCAGCAATTTCAAAATTACACAAAAAGCAGTTAGGCTTAATAAAATCCTTTACTATCTCAAGAGCTACATTCCTAAAGTCAGTCTAAGGCAGATATAAATTATACCTATGTACTTCTTTTCTTTCCTTGACTGGGTTTATCAAACTTCATTTATCTAGGCTCAGCTATGAACTCATTACATTATTTACTACTCTTACATTTTAAAACATTTTACTCTTTCAGTGTACTAAACCTCACCCAAATATATTAAATACAACTTAACCCAAAACATTTCCACATATAGCAACATTCCTAAAGTTCTGTGTCCTTTAAATGTAGTACAACTTATATGCAATTAAAAGCAGATTTAAACCTAGGAAGGCAGTTTCATTATACTTCGTTGTCACATTAATTACATTAAACTATTGGATAGAACTTTCTCACTTAACACTGTCATCCCATCTTTCCTCCCTCTCCATAGTTCATGAAGGCCAACAAATAAATACTCACTGGGTAAATTACATAAGAGCACACAGTGTATTCTTATTCCTATCCAGTAACAAACTACAGGGGCTTATATAAAGAGAAAAAGTAGTTTTATGGCTAGCTGAAGTGAACGACTTATCATTCACAAGAAAAAAATTCTGTCAGCCTTTAAATGCCACCTATGAACAGCTTTCTCATCTACCTATAATTAAATTTTAAGTTTGAAATTGTACAAGAAAGATTTGATTCACAGCTAAAATCATCTATGTTGTCTATTGTCTCACACAAGCAGAGTATTAAGTTTATGGTGAAGAATACTGTGAAATACTTTCAAAGACTAAAAAAATTTTCATTTTTAAGAAATCCATGAATAATAGCACTGGACACTGAAAAACTTTAGTGATAGGGACAGACTGCACTTGCAATACACCTAAAAGGTTCTCACAGTATCTATACTAATGAGTAATATGCTAATTAGACTGGGAGACCTTCCAACGTCTTTCTAGACAAAGCCATAATGGCGGGGCTGAGTCAGAGGCAGTTAAGGGTGATCAGGCCAACGGGGGAGGGCAGTTGGGGGCGAGCAGGGCAGCAGGGGGGCACAGTTGGGGGTGAGCAGGCTGGCAGGGGGGCACAGTTGGGGGCGAGCAGGCCAGCAGGGGGGGCAGCTGAAGGCGATCAGGCCAGCAGGGTGCTGGCAGTTAGGGGGGATCAGGCCAGAAAAGGGGAAGCTGGGGGTGATCAGGCCAGCAGTCAGAGTAGTTAGGGGTGATCAGGCAGGCAGGCAGGCAGGCAAGCGGTTAGGAGCCAGTGGTCCCGGATTGCGAGAGGGATGTCCAACTGCTGGTTTAGGCCCGATCCCCGAGGGGTCCCAGATTGGAGAGGGTGAAGGCCGGGCTGAGGGACAACCCGCCCCCCAGCACGAATTTCGTGCACCAGGCCAGTAGTCTATAATAATAAAAGCATAATATGCAAATCGACCGAATGGCCAAACAGCAGAACCACCATGCAGACGACCTTTCAGATGACCTTCCCGACGAAGCCAGGGCTGCGAGGGCCTACTCTTGCACGAATTTCATGCATCAGGCCTCTAGTCTTGAATATTTTTACAGTTACTTCAACATGAAGAATCCAAAAAACTAACAAAATTTCCAAAGTAAATACCTTTATCTGCATCATAGGACCCTTTTTCACTTCCATTTTCTACAATTCTCCCAGGAAGAGTTAATCTGCAAATTTAATATAACATCTCATGAAGTCCTTAAATTACAAAGTATAAATGACCAGTATACATTGAAAACTACCAACCATTTAAAAAGGAAATCCCTCAACATTTCTTTAACATTTTACAAAGTAAATAACGGACTTCTTTCCTAGCTAAGATAAAAAAAAATTAGAGATGACTCCTCTCTGAATACCCACTACTCATCAATAAAATATATACTTAAAGAGGAAAGCCACAATAAATATAGTTATAACCATTGTTACAGTACTTCTACCTCCCTAATGAATGAGTTATTTATATACCTGGTGCCTCACACAGCATGGGTCCAATAAAAGTAGACTAATTGGCTACTAAAAAAGACAGGTAAGAGGAAACAATAAACAACAAAACCAATTATTTGTATTGGGCAAATTACTACTTAAAAAAACAATGCACAAAAATGTTTTTCTCAAATCTTATAATTAATATATGGGGATTTTCTCTTCTTTCATACTAAAGGAAATGAACTGATTCCTGTTTCCAGTTTTACTCTGGTTCAGTCAGTCTTCCATTGAGGCCCTAAAATAATTTTTCTAAAGTACAAGTCTGGACTACAGGGAATTCAAACATGATGGCCAGCAGGACAGCAGGGAAGAAGAGAGTGTGACAGAGTAAAGGAGTAAGGGGGTGTGTGTGGACATGTGTGGTATGTGTGTGGGTGAGAGAGGGACAGATAGCTATCTCAGGAATCCCGGGGACTAGCAGATCGGGCTCTCCTAGACGGGCTACCGACACACACACTCCCAGACCAGCACAGCTTTGGCACCAAACCCACGCCATTTGTAGAGGGGAGCAACAGAGGCCAAGAGTGCAGCCATGTCAACATCCACAGCGACCTCAGATACCACCCCTGGACCTGTGCAGGGAGCCACTTGCCAGACGCAACCTGTGTGGAACCACCACCGCCAAGTACCCAGGCAGTGAGTAGCCAAGGTACCATACCATGGGTCCCAGGCATAGCAGAGAGACCTCCTGAGGGGCGCCTCCTCGCCAGAGCCCAAACCCATGTTTCAGGTCCCCACGCTGTAAGTGCAAGCCAGGGGTACCCCACACCCTGCTCCATCCCTGGTCCCAGTATAGAGCTGTCTCCTTGGCACACATCCTACCCCCGGCCCAGGTCAGAGCTGCTGGTGCAAACTGGTGTGCCCAGCCACAGGTCACAGGACCACACTGCAACTGTGCTGACAAAGAGACCTAGGGCACCATCCTGCCTTGGTGCTGGGGCCACAGAGTGAATTGCATGCCAGAGGGCTCTGGGCCCTCTCACAGAGTCCCACACCAGAGGAACTGTGCACTCGCACCCGCCAACCTCGAGAATCTGAAGAGGACAACTGAGGTACAAGACTGTGGGAGAAGGAGATACAACTCAGAGCAGAGACAATAAAGGTGTGAAACTCCAGACCCAGCCCCCAGGCTAGCTAGTCCCACTAGGGGAAGTATGTCAAACTTGTGGCTCATGGGCCACATGCGGCCCACAATGAATATTTTTGTGGCCCAGCCAATATAACGGTATGTAAGAAACATTTTAATAAAAATTCCATATCTTAATTCTTACATTGTCCTGTTATAACTAATTATTAATAATGAACTACAACATTTGCTAATGACTAATTACTGTAATCATGTTGCACGCATTTCCCTTACATGTAGGCACACCATTTCTCTCCACTAATATTAGCAGTGAATATTTTAGCAGCCGACCGCCATGTAATTAGTCTTGGACTGACTTGTTTGATGTACGCAACAGGAAATATTTTGTTTTCAAAGAACAAGAAAAATAGGTTTATTTACATTACACTTATTAATTTGTGCAGTTATTTGGTGTCTGTTCAAGAAAAAAATATTAATTTTTATTAAAATGTTCTATTATCTCATGTTAACAATGACTCATTTATTGAAATAAATGTATTCAGTATGTCTCTATCAAAATCTATGTTTCTATGAAAATTGAAGCTTTTGTGTTTTTTGCGGCCCAAACAAACTTAAACCTTATTTGGTCCATATAAGCCTTTGAGTTTGACGTGCTTGTGCTAGGGATTTCAACCCCTCAGACCCTAAACACGGAGCCCAAGACCAAAAAGAGACAGCAAAAATGTGGAGACAAAGAAAAAAACCCCAAAAGATAGGATAGTAAGAATCATCGGAAAAGGAATTAAATGAAATGGAGGTAAACAATATGTCAGAGAAATAATTCAGTGTAATGGTCATAAAGTTTCTAAACTGGCTGGATGAGAAAATCGACAACAAATGGAAGAATCAAGTCAAAATGAAGATATCTATACTAATATAAGAGTAATATGCAAATTGATCAGGATGCCCTCATGCAACGACCGAACAGCAGGCTGCGTGGGGCGACCAGACCAGCAGGAGGGGAAGGGAGGGGCGACCAGGCTGGCAGGATGGGGCAATTAGGGGTGACCAGGCCAGCGGGGGAGGGGCAGTTAGGGGTGATCAGGCTGGCGGGGGGGCAGTTAGAGGAGACCAGGCCGGAAGGCGGGGCAGTTACAGGCGATCAGGCTGACAGGCAGAGGCAGTTAGGGGTGATCAGATTAGTGGAGGGAGGCAGTTAAGGGCAATCAGGCAGGCAGGCAGAGACCGTTAGGGGCGATCAGGCAGGCAGGCAGGTGAGCGGTTAGGAGCCAGCAGTCCCGGACTGTGAGAGGGATGTCCGACTGCCGGTTTAGGCCCGATGCTGGGGATTGAGCCTAAACCGAAAGTCAGACATCCCCCCAGGGGTCCCAGATTGGAGAGGGTGCAGGCTGGGCTGAGGGGACCCCCTACCTCGTGCACGAATTTCGTGCACTGGAACTCTAGTAGCTACAATAAAGAACATAATGGAAGGTTTCAACAGTAGACTAGAAGAAGCTGTGGACCAAATCAGCGAGTTAGAAGACAGGGTAAGAAATAACACGCAATCAGAACACCAACTGGAAAAAGAAATTCTAAAGCAAGAGGACAGCTTAAGGGAGCTTTGGGACAACATGAAAAGAAGCAACATTCATATAATAGGGTTTCCAGAAGGACAAGAAGAGGAGCAAGGATTATAAAAACTATTTGAAGAAATAATGACAGAAAACTTCCCTGATTTGGAGAAGAAAAGTCACACAAGCACAAGAGTCCCAAACAAGATGAACCCCAAAAGACCCAAAACACTATGCATCATAAATTACAATGGCAACCATTAGCGGCAAAGAGAGAATCTTAAGGGGTGCAAGGAAAAGACAATAAGTTACCTACAAGGGATCTTCCATTAGATTATCAAATGATTTCACAACAGAAACACATCAGGACAGAAACGAATGGAAGAAAGTATACAAAGTGATGCAAAGCAAGGGACTGGATCCAAGAATACTCTATCAGCAAGGTCATCATTCAAAATTGAAGGGGAAATCAGGAGCTTCACAAACAAAAGGTTAAGGAAGTTTATTACTACCAAGTCAGCAATGCAAAAAATCCTAAAGGGAAAGTTTAAAAAGAAGTAGAAAGGGAAGAAGGAACACAGGCATAAAGAATAAAAATGGCTACAAACAAGTATTTATCAATAATCTTAAACATAAATGGGTTAAATACTCCAATCAAAAGACATAAGGTGGTTGAATGGATAAGAAAACATGATCCACCGAAACCGGTTGGGCTCAGTGCAGAGAGCATCGGCCTGCGGACCGAAAGGTCCCAGGTTCGATTCCAGTCAAGGGCATGTACCTTGCTTGCAGGCACATCCCCAGTAGGAGATGTACAGGAGGCAGCTAGCTGGTCGATGTTTCTAACTCTCTATCTCTCTCCCTTCCTCTCTGTAAAAAATCAATAAAATATATTTAAAAAAAGAAAAGAAAAATCGGGTGTGTATTACTAATTGTTATTGCTTATTAAATGTTTACCATCATTGTTATCTTAGTGACAAAAAAGAATGTTGTAAATAAAAT